ACTGAATCCACATCCTACATCTTCACTTAGTCGATATGCTTATATGTGCTTTATTGTCATAAGTAGCAGATGATCATATGTCAAGAAGCCTCCAAACATTGCTGGAAGACAGATTTCTGTCTTCATTTACCTTTACAGTTGTTGCAGTGGTCTACATGTTAATTTTTTGTTTGTTGTTGTGTTTTTAAAAATATATTTGAATCAGAGTATGGTATACTGTATCAACATGTCAGCAAGCTAACTTACTTACTTCTGGATGTCTGAATGTTAAATGTTATTGCAAAACTTTGGAGAACAGCCACGCTTTTTACTCCCAGTAGTGCCTCAGGGCTTGTCTGCTTCTTTTGAAGTGAAGAAATACTTGGACCCAGAAATGTCTAATGATGCCAGACTAAACAAGAGAGTTGAACCTAAATAACATTGTGAAAAATGTTCCATGTGTGTTATTGCATCAGCTTTCTTGTTTTTGTAGTGATGGTGTTTTAGTTGGAGAGAGCATGGAGAGAAACGGTCTTGTCTTCTACCAATGGAAATGATAACACTAATGTAACCTTGACCACACACAAAAAAGGACTATGATGCCACTGTGATGTAAATTAAAAAGCTGCAAAACATCTAAAACCTGATAGAAGATTGAAGAGTTTCTTTAAATTGTCCATATCCTTTAACTTGAAAGTTCCAAAAGCTCTCAGAATCATCTTTGAGTGCTGATGGTGTGTCACAAGTCTCTCAGCAAATGTAGCGTCAGCACTCATTCTGTATAATCTTAGCCATCCAGTCTGATCTGGACACGAGTAACCTCAGTCTGGCCCCTGACGACTGGATCAGCTCCCTCCCGCTGAAAGAGGGAAAGATATGAAAACAAAGTTGCTCGTGCCAAATTCTTAAAATATGAGATATGATAGATTTCTTACTTTTGGTAGTCCAGTCCAAGAAGGCTGATTCCATTAACAGCCAAGATCCTGTCTCCTGGTAACAGCTTCTCACACCGGGCAGCTGGAGAGTCTGGGACCACTGCACGAATGAAGATGCCCTTCGCCTTCAAAGAAGTGTCCTGAAACATGAGGTGTCGAGTTCTCGATTAAAGCAAAGATTTCACAGTTTCTGACTGTGAGGTTTTCAAAATGGTCCTTATTTTTACCTGCATTATATTTTTTTATATATAAATGGCATGAAGTAATATAATTCATGCCACAATACATAATAATATATAGTCATTATGTATTATGTATTATAGATATATTTTTAGTGTTACGCATCTGCTGTTAACAACTCAAGTACAGTTGTCACACAGTGGAACTTTGTATTTGTCTTTTATATTGGTTTTATTTTGATTTTAGCGTTTATTTGCGAGTGTAGTTTTTATTGCATGATTTTATTCTCATGTTCGTATTGCATGGTTTTTAGTGTTTTATTCTACATTGTTTTAATCCACTGTGGATTGGCTGGGCATGGGACAATTAGCTGATAGGGACGGACTCCGGTGCAAAATGCGAGGTGGGCTGGGATGTGACGGGCCCAGTGAAGGGACGAGAGGGGGACAGGAGGCTCCTCCTCGTCATTCTGGGATGAGGCTGGCGTGGAGCCTGCTCTGGAGAAGGAATTTCTGGCCTGCTGGTGGACCCATAATGAGCATTCATCTGGGGTTGTGGGACAATTACACCAAGGGATTTTAGTGCAAATTGAAAATGGTATTTTTATGGGTTTTAGAATTGTTTTATCTAGTCTCCGTGGGAATTTTAGCATATGGAGAACATTTTATTGCATACTTTTTCTTTTCTTTTCTTTCTTTTTTTTTTGGCCTGTCCCATTTGGTTCTTTAGCCGTCAGAATTGTTGTCTGAAGACCAACAAGGATACCCAATGGATTTACTTTGGCAAATGGATCATCACGGCCTTGCCGTATTGGTCCATTTGATCGACCTTTGTTGTTATTATTTATTTTATTTTCAGTTGTTACAGACGGGACAGACATGAGTGAGGGATAGGAAAGGGAGAAAGAAAGATGAAGGAAAAGAAAAACAGAAGGGAAGAGGGACAGTGAGAACGGGCACTTAAAAAGAGAAAGAAGAAAAAAAATCTCCTGGATCACCTGTTGAGAGAAAAAGAAGAGAAAACAAGCAAAAAAAACAGAGCAACATACTTAACACAACACCATCACGTTAATCTAGCTAAGTGTAAACAGCAGTAAATACTAAATATTGAATGTTGTTGTGTAGCAAGCAGGACCGGCAGTGCACAATGTGCTTGGAAATAGCAGCCAATAAAGGTGTAGTTTATGCCTATGAACAGTGAACACCCGTGTGCACACCTGTGTGGATCAGCGCGCTTGTATTGAAAAGGTTTCCCCATGTAATGGTCTGCTAGAGG